CAACTAAGCCCGTGCTCCTCAACAAGAGAAGCCACTGCAATGAGAAGCCCGCGCACCGTAACGAAGAGTAGCCCCTGCTCGCCGCAACTAGAGAAAGCCTGCACACAGCAACAAAGACCCGACGCAGTGAAAAATAAATAAACAAAATAAATAAATTTATTTTTTTAAAAAAAGCTGACATTTGGGAGTTGGCTTTAGTCCATCTGTTAACAGCTTCTGGCACCTGAAGAGTCTCAGAGCAGTATCTTCTGGGTAGAAAGAAGGGGCTCACAGCTTCTCTGCTGTGGAGAGAGGTCGTTGTGGTCTCTTGGCAAAAGCCCTGGACACGAAGTTCTCAGGAAATCTGACTTCAAATTGTGATTATGCCCCTTACTGGCTGTGGGATCTTGAGCAAGTCACTCAACCTCTCTGATCCTCACTTTCCTCATCTGTAAAAGAGGGATAATACCACCTATCCCACAGGGATATCCTGAAGATTAATGCTTACAAAGCCATCTAGAACGCAGACATACTCAATAATTCAACAAAACATGTGCCAGGCTCTGGACTAGGTGCTGGGGCACAAAGAAAAATACAATAGTAGCTGCCTTCAAATTGTTCAGTGTAGAAATGCTGTTAACAGGAATTCATTTTCTTCCCTCCCTACATTCGCCTTCTTTTAGGACGGCAACAGGAGTTTCAGAACTTTGATTCTTTGCCTTGATAAACTTTCACCTCTGTGCTCTCAAAAGAGATCATGCTGATAGGGTGGCACCTATGTTTACATCCCTCATTCTCAAACAGGGGAGATGGGGTGGTAAACTTAAATGTTATGGGGAAAATATCCCTTTTATGCTTTCAAGTTATTACCAACACTGATCCTTACACTCTTCCAGGCCTTACCTGAAGGTGTTTCCATGGTGAAAAGTGTGCTTCTTCAGCACTTTAAAATAAGTATGGAAAACCCTAGTTCTTTCTCATTCCCTGTACCCCCAGCTTGTATGGATTTATATTCCAGTTGAAAAGACTAGTCACAAAGGATCAGTTCCCAGTTTAGCTACCTTAGTGACCAATTTCTGGCTCACCTCCTGATCTGGGGTTCAGAATCTATGCTAAAAACAAAAGGGCTTTCCAGAAAAATACTAGCTGAGTTTATAAACAGAGGCTGACACAAAGCAACTAGGGAGGAAAATGTAGGAGATAGTTTCTAAATCAAAATGTTATAACATGAAAACCATCCTTCCCTTGGTGGAGCAATTCCACAAGTCACAGAAAAATATTTTTCATTTTAGAATAGATTGGAAGAGAGCCTCTGCCAAGAGCCAGTTGTTTCAATTTTCAATTTGAATTTTAAGCAGGATTATACATGCCCAAGAACATCATGCTATTTTTAGCTAAATAGGTAGGATTGCTGTGTCCACAACAGTTTGGAGCAATCAGGAGTGAAACTATTAAACAGCATCTCTCACTGTAGTAGCTTATCATTTGGCACTTCTATATCTATTTTAATATTTTCCAAAGCGTCATCATACAAATATTTGTAAAGCACCCATGCTTAGGCACAATACAAAGTTTAAATAGATAGACAAGGTTCCTATCTTCATTATGGGTTCAACCCATTAAGCAACCAGATATATGAAAGAATCTCACAGTTAGAGCAAAGTCAGAGCTGCCATCCAGCCCCTAACTGCCCAGATGAGATACATCAGGAAGCAACTGTCCTACACCTATCACCCTTCCAATGCTTGCACCATCTCTATGTATTCAAAAGAGAGGGGTAATGAAAATGTTCTAAAATCGACTGTGATGATGAATGCACAATTCTGTGAATACACTAAAAGCCACTGAATTGTACACCTAAATGGATGCATTGTATGCTGTATGAATCATATCTCAATTAAGCTGTTAAAAAAAAGGAGAAAAATTGTTCTTACTCTGATTGCTCTAATTAGTCAAGGCTATTTTTTTTAAGCTCTCGTACTAAAGGATATCTAGCTAAAGGCTGCACTGGTTTGGCAATGGTGCCTCAAGGGCCACCATGGAGACCACTCTAATCTTTCCCTCACCCTCTCTTCTATTATTTTCCCAGTTCCTTTCCTCTGCTCCAACTAGGTCTTAGGTTTCTCAGGTATTCCCAAGCACGATTTGTCCCAGCTGGTGGACTTCAGGATTAAACTGATTGCTGACCCTCGGCAACTTTCCCTTCATGACCTTAGGCAAGTCATGTCCCTGCTCTCCTGTCGCTGTTCTGGTTTGCACAATGAGGGGTTGGACTACGTGATCCTTTCCAGCTCCCACATTCCATGTGAAAAAAATACAAATGATGAACACTTACTTGGCCAATAACATACAAAGTCTCTGCCATTTTAGCCAACAAACATATATTTGGATCATTCATTTTGTAAATGCCTATGTGATGCAATCCTCCAAAGAACAGTATTTAACATAATTATAAAATGATCAACATGGAGTCCTTATTCTTAAAAACTATCATTTTATCAAAGAAAATTCAGAGCCCAACACGGAATGCTTGATAGTCTCTCTGGACCTGTTTCCAAGGGTCCATTTTTGAATGGAAAAATAAAAAGCTTTTGCATGTTGGGGCCCTGTTGGATTTTCCAAACCAAAGGAAGAAATGAGATTGGGGTGGCAGAGACTTAACAACAGTAGTTCAACTAAATCCTAAGAGAAGAAAGGCTTTGTTTGGCAAATGGTAGAGAGACCTAGCATAAGACAGCACCCTGACAAACATCAAAAATGCTCAGAAATATGCCCAGAGAGCAATGAACACTGAAGGAATCCCTTTAGCCAGGACAACTTGCAGCTTTTTATGCAAATCAATTACATTCTCCTAACAAAACTCGGAGAAACATGTAGTCACCAGTTTCCAACATACTACCACCAAATTCACAGTACTGTTTCCATGTGCCCAGCATCAGTGAGCAAAACCAAAAGAAACACATCAATTTCTCCTTCACACACACACACAAATATGCAAGAGAAACCATTTTCTTTGCAGAGCCTACGTTGCCTAAGTTGTGGCCATGAAATGGATAAATATTGGTTGCTAATAAAAATCAGATGGTGAGCTCTACACTGAGAAGCAAACAGCATGCCCAAGCATCATAAAAACAGTAACCCTAATGTGTGTTTCTTGTCATTAGGCGGGACACCCAACATGGAAAGAAATGACTCAAAGTGTCCATTTGCATCCCTCTTTCCTACTACCTCAGACCAACAAGCTCTCCTGTTAGTCATCTCCCTACACTTGTCCCCATCAAAAGGGCCTAGTGCATAAGGTTGCAGGCCCCTCTCTTGTTGGCCTTCAGGCTCCTGGCTTGAGGCGCTGAACAAGGGGTAGGGGGGCAGCGGAAAGGACAAAGGTAGGCGCTTTCGATCCCTCACGGCTTTGCAGCAGGGCTGCCAGCCTCTCCCCATTCTCATCACGGAACAGAGCACCTGCCCTAAGGGACAAAGGCTGGCCTTACAAAGAGGAGGGGGAGGCGAAAGGAGTCGGCGACAGTCGCAAACGCTGGCAAACAAAAGCGGGCATGGGGGGGGGGTCCGAGAACACCAAGCCCACCTCGGGGGTTCCCAGAGGTCGCCAGGTCGGGGTGGGGGGGAAAGGAGGCGTAGTAACGGATGTGGGGGAGGGGAAGACGGAGAAAATTCCTCTGAGGACCGAGATTAGGGAGCTGCTGGGGGCGCAGCCGCCGGCAAGAAGGAGAGTGGGGGGCGGACAGAGGTCCCAGGCGAGAAGGGACAGAGTTTGTGGGTGGGGAGAGGTGATGGCCAAGAGGTGGAGGCCGGCCGGGGCTCAGCCGCGCGCATTGCTCCGCGGGGCCGCGAGGGACCCTCGGGAGGGGCTCCAAAGCCGCGCGCCGCGCGGGGCTGGGGACACGCGACCCAGGGATTCCGGGGAGAGCTCAGAGTTGGGGGCGCAGTGTGGGAAAAGAGAGAGTCTGAGAACAGAACCGTAGAGAGGCTAGGGGGGACTGTGAGGGGGCCTGACCCCCGTCCGCCCCACCTCACCTGGCGCCGGGTCGGAGTCCAGGTCTAGTGCTGAGAAAGCGCCAGCTCCGGCCGGCCCCTCTGTCCCGCGCGGGAGACCACGGACACAAAGCGGGGCACGCGGGAGGAGGGGGGGAGGAGGGGGAGGAGGAGGAGGAGGAGGGGGAGGGGAGGGAGGAGGAGGAGACGCCTGAGGCGCGCGAGGCGGGGAGGGGGGAAAGGAGGGGCGCCCGCCGCCCTCCGCCTGGGTCAGGGGGCGGGGCGTGAGGCTGGAGGCCGCGCTCGGCCGGCCAATGGCCACCCCGCCGGCCGGCTGGCTCAGGCGCGCTATCCCGCAGCTCACCTCGGCACCTGGGCCTTGGCTGGCCCCAGCCAATCAAATGCTTTCATTTGCGTAACCGGCCCCTCCCACTCGCCCAAGCCGGGGGACTGCTCCCGCAGAACACAAAGAAGGCCCCCAGCAGGGAAAGGGGGGGTCCACTTCCGATTCCCTACCTGGAGAGCCTAGCATCACCTTTTCAGCGCGTTTATGGCTGTTTCACGGTCACCCTGATGAGGGGAGAAGTGGGGGGTCATAGAGGTTTGGCCCAAGCACTCTTAAGAGGTTGGTACTCTTCTCCCTCAAGTCCTTCTAACCGAGAACTACCCTCCTGTTCCAGGGAACACAGTTATGTTCTTCGCCTCTTGAGCCCTCCGCCTCTGCCTCCCTCCTCCTCCCCTTTTTCCAGTAGCCCCAATCTCTGCGCTTCCTCCCGTAAACTGCCGCCCACTACTGGCCTTCAGCTGCATTGCAGCCCTATTCACCAGGCTCTGAGCACAGCCTTGATTGATGCTCCCAAGCTGTCCAAACCTACCCCAGTCCAGAAGGAAAACGAGAGAGGAAGAGGTTACTGTACCAGTGTAAGAAAGGACCTAGTCAAGTGGCTTTGTTACCTATGATGGCAAAAAGCCAGCAGTTAGTAATAAGTCTAATCTCCCCAAATCATCTTGTTCCACCTTCCTTCTCCTACCTTCAGGTCTGTACTGGGCCACAATAGTGACTGACTGGCCAGCCCGTTTCAGAGCAGCCGCAGCCTGCTCATGAGTTGCATTCCTCAGGTTCACGCCATTCACCTGTCCAAAGAGAGGAGTTATGAGCCACCCCAAAAGCAAGAAAGGAGTCCTCTGTTGTCCTGAGTTAGGAGAGGGAGATGGGTAGACCATCTCTAAGCCTACTTGGATGCCTTTCTCATCCAAGGATGGGCAATATCCCATCCTTGCCCCTAGGATGAGACCTAAAGGATATATCTCTAGCATAATAATATCTTTGTGGGGGTCAAATGCCAGCCAGGGTTAAGATCCAAGAGATACTCACTTCCTCCCTAAGTATAAGTCTGGTTCCCTGTCCCTCACTAAGGACATCTATAAAGAGAATATGGGGCTTCCCTGGTGGCGCAGTGGTTGAGAGTCCGCCTGCCGATACAGGGGACACGGGTTCGTGCCCCGGTCCGGGAAGATCCCACATGCCGCGGAGCAGCTGGGCCCGTGAGCCATGGCCACTGAGCCTGCGCGTCCGGAGCCTGTGCTCCACAACGGGAGAGGCCACAACAGTGAGAGGCCCGCGTACCGCAAAAAAAAAAAAAAAAAAAGAGAATATGTTTTCTCCAGCTTTTAGCCTTCCCCCACTTCAAGAAGCATTCCTTGGAGACAGCCAGGTCTTCCCTCCTCCCTTTCAGACTGGCATAGCTCCCATCCTCCCACCTTGCCTTTGTCTCCTCACCGATAAGATCCGGTCTCCTCTGCGCAGCTCCCCACTCAGGTCAGCTGGGCCTCCTGCCAGGATGAAGGAGACGAAAATGCCTTCTCCATCCTCTCCTCCCACGATGTTGAAGCCCAGGCCTGTGGAGCCCTTGTGCAGGATGATCTTGCGGGGCTCTCTGGTGGGAAAGGAGTGGAAGGGTCAGGACAAAGTAGGTATAAACTGTTGTCCCTGCGAGGGCCAGCCTGGAACAAGGCCCATATGGCTGTAGACGGACTTAGGTTCCTAGGTATGATACTCTGTTGCTCCCTTTCTCTCCTGAAACCTGCTTGGCTGCTGTTTGCTTCCAGGTGCCAAGTTTCAGTTGTTCTTCCTCCCTTCTTCCTGAGGGCTTGGAGTCAACTTCCCAGTGGACAGTCCCCGACTCTCTCTGGTCAACAAACCCCTACCCTGGGCTCTAGAGACCATATCTCAGAGCCCACTCACTGGTCCTCTTCCTCCCCAGATTCTCCCATCCTACCAACTGGTGTGATTTGAACCCTGGGCCACAAGAAGGGGAATCAGTTAGGGGCTGTGGGATGGCCCTGGGGTTGATTGCACTCACCACCCACAAACTGTGCATACTTACTTTATACATGCTTCTCCGCAGTCTCAAAAATCCACCGACCAACTATGACCCCTCCTACTTTCCCCAACAACAGATTTAGTCAACAGCTAGCACTATGTACCCTTGCTGGGTGATGTGGGAGATAGAGATAAAGAAATCCCAGGTCCCCAGAAGATGCTTAGGAGCCTAACTGAAGAGAGGAGACAAACACATGAAAACTCCGACTCCAACTAACCATGTCTAAGGAATCCCTCTGTAAATGGTCAGTGTCGTCAAGTGAGAGCAGCCGCGGCTCCTGTGTACCCATACAACCTGACTCAGCACGCTTGCCCAGCCCACTGCCTTCACTTTAAGCATCTTTCATCTGAGGAGCCCCAGGTCCGAGGCTCTTCCTTTCTTGCTCCCAGTCTCAGGTGCGAGGCTCCTTCCCTGAGACCCGGATGCTCTTGCTAAAGCCCTCCTCTCCTCCTACCTGGCATCCCCTCCAGGCCGCAGGGAGCGGAGCGGCCAGGCCCACCTCTGCGAAGCCCTCCTCCGCGAAGCCCTCCTCCAGGCCGAGGCCGAAGCTGAGCCCAAGCCCAGGGGCAAGCCGGAGCCTGAGGATTTGCGTGCCCTCTCCATGGCTCCTCCAGCTCCCCCCGCCCCCGCCCCCGCCCCCGCCTACTCCGTCCGCCTACCCTTCCGGCTCTACTGCAGCCAGCCCAGCAGCCTCCCAGGCCCCACCCTGCAGCAAACCTGTCCCCCGGAACCCCTGCCGGCCCAACCAGTTCCGCAGCGGCAGCAGCCTCCAGAGTGGGGCGGGGCCGTTCCCTGCGTGAGAGGCCACCTGGCCCGCCAGCCTCCCAGCATCCCGGACCAACCCCACCGGCTGAACTGCTCTCTTCTCTAACGTGGAATGGTTGCAGCAGAGGGGGCTGCAGCTGTCTCGGGGCAGGAAATCCCGCAGCCTCCACCTCCTCAGCCCCCTAAACACTCCATCCTACCCTTTCTCTGCACTTTCGAATGGGGGCCACACACTTGGCACTCCCCCTGATGGTAGAGCTTGTCCCTGCAGCCACCTCTGTCCCTCCTTAGGGTCCCAAGGGCCTGAGAGGGGGCCTTAGACCCCAAAGACACGAGGTATGAGGGCTTTATCCTCTTCTATGCCATACTACGAGGAGGCCTGTGGCCAGCCAGAAGCGATTCCTCTCCGCCCCATCCCTAGGTAGGATGCGGAGGGGCGGGGCGGGGGAGGGGGTCTTACCTGGTGAAGTCCTCCTCAGCCAGCATGTGCCTGGGGATAGGAGAGTAGCGGGCGGGGGGAACCTGAGGAGGAGCAGGGTAGCTGACCTTGCTCTCCACAGCCCCGAGATAACCCAGGCTGGAGTTATGGCTTATGTGGTTGTCAGCCAAGGCAGTAAAAGCTGGAATCGAGAAAGGGAGAGAAAAGTTCCGAGACCACTCCCCAGTGGTACCCTACTCCACCCGCCACCAAGGGCTGACCACCCCCCCCACCTCAGATGTAAAGAGACCAGACCGAGGGATGCAGATTCCTCAGGCATCTCCTCCCCACTCCACCCCCTAGGGTTCCTCCTCCACAGTCCCTTTCTGAATTCTGAGCTCACTCCTGTGAGTCTTAGAAAGAGCTAAAGTCAAGGCAATCTACAAAGAAAGGCATGACTAGAGGTGTGACTAATAATAATCCCTCACATCTCTATAGCCTGATACAGTTTTCCAAGGGCTTTCTCGTCCGTGATCTCATTTGATCCTTGCAGCAGTCCTATGAGGAGGGCAGCACATATATCATTAGCTCCTTTTTGCCAAAGAGGAAACTAAAGACAGGTGAAGGGGACCTGTCCAAGGGCACCCAGGTATAAGGGACAGGGCTGGGATTTGGACTCAGCTTTCCTGAGCACCAGTCTTATTCTCTCTCTCTCTCTCTCTCTCTCCTCTCTCTCTTAACAAGGAGCATAAACTTGTTCCCTTCCGGAAACCAGGGGGCAGGGCTTCAGGACAGGGACAGGGCACACTGGTACGTACTGCTGGCGTAGTCGGGGGGTGCATACATGTCGTTGAGGTGGAGGCTGCCTGGCTTGGCCACCTTCAGATAGACCATGTCAGATGTGTTCTTCAGCGAGGCCACAGCTTCCTCATGCCTCACATCCTGCAGGTTGGTGTTGTTCACCTAGGAGAGGAGAGGCCTTAGGGCTGGCACTGGGGAGAAAAAGGGAGGGCCTCCGCAGGGAACACTGAGGGGTGCCCTTTCAGTGAAATTCAACAGTGCTCTATCTAACAGAGGTCCAAATACAGTGCTGTGAGGGGCAGAGAAGCAGGGGGTAGGGGGGGGACAGGTGAGGGAGTTCCAGCCATGAAGAGGACTAGGGCCTTGCTATCTGGGGACACACAACTCAGATGATGCTCTTGAAATTTCCCATGATGCCTAGTCCCTGAGTGAGGTTCAGGTGGAGGGAGAGGCTACTAGAGCTCCACCTCCCCACCCCGCCATTTGGGCATCCCCAGGAAGGCTGTCTCACCGCCAGCAGCCGATCCCCGATCTGTAGGCGTCCATCCTTCTGAGCAGCACCCCCCTCAATGATCTTGGTGATGTAGATGCTGTTGTCTCCTGGGATGTGCTGGTTGCCAATCCCCCCAGCAATGCTGAAACCCAGGCCTGGGTGGGAGCCAGCAGGGAGTGGGAGAGGGACACAAGGAGAAGTTAGAACACGCAGTCAATCCCAACCCCAATCCCCCGCACCCAGCCAAGCCACCAGCCCCATAGGAGCTCCCCCCAGGGATCCCAAACACCAGGCTGCCATCCCGAGGTCAGTACAGGTGAGATGTGAGATCAAGAAAGAAGGATGTGAGCTGCACCAGGGAGTCAGGAAGGAAGTGAGGGTATTCCCTTCCAATTCCTACAGGGCGAACCAGTGGCCTCTGGCCAGAGCACGAGAACCCAGAGGGCCGCACCTTTGGGCCCTTTGAGCAGGTTGACCTCCATGATGGTCTCTGGTGGGGGCTGTCGCCTCCGTACCACCAACCGCACCACAGGGCCGGCCTCCTTCAGTGCCTCCACCGCCCGGCTGTGCACCACCTCTGACACATCCACCTCATTCACCCGCAGCACACAGTCATTCACCCTGTGGGGGAAGCCCAAGAGGCATGACACCCTGCCACCCCCCCCTCCACCCCCTCTCCCACCTCCTCCTCTTCCTCTCCCCTCCCCTTCCCCTCCCTCCTCACCCCTCCCCATCTCAGATCTAATTCAAGGGTCATCCTGCCAGGCGGCCCTCCTCCCCTCACCTCCATCCTGCCCCTGCCGTCCCCAGCCCTGCTTCCAGGCCACCTCACCCCAGCCTCCCGTCCATGGCAGCTGCTCCACCAGGGATAATCTTCGTAATAAAGATACCAGGGTCATCGGGGACATGGGGGTTGTCGATTCCACCAGCAATGCTGAAGCCCAGGCCAGAATTGCCCTGCAGAAGGAAGTGGAGGGGCACAGTTTTCTCATTTAGAAGGCACGGGGGAGGGTTTCCGGGGCCCCATCTACCCCTGCCCCCAAAGAGCAGCTTCTCCAGGCCTCAGAAGGGGCCACGGCAGGCTGGGGCACATTCGTCACCAATCTGGCAGATTCCCAGCCTGTGCTGACCATTCTGGCGTGGAGGCCTCAGCGAAGCCATCCCCTCCCCAATTCCCCAGGCCTCAGCGAGCAAGGTCAATTAATATTTGTTAGACAGCTGATTGATTGATGCAGTGATGCAGCCTCTGAGGGCCGCCGTTTCCCCATTCTCTCAATGCAGGTCCCCCACGAGTCTTGAGACCAAGATTCAGGGCCCTCCCCTCTCCCCGTTCTAACCCTGCCCTCCCATTTTATCCTGCCCCACCTCCAGACTCACCCGCTCAAGGACTATCTCCTCATACTTGAACATGCCATCACTGCCATTCACCTAGGGGAAGACACAGGCAGGGCCCTAAGTGCCTCCTGCGCCGCTCCCCCGTACCCCCTGGTCAACCTGCTTGTCCCCCAACTCCCCACAGAGTAGTAGGAGAGCCCAAATTGACCCTGAGACATCTGTTGGCCACAGATGGGACAGGCTGACCCTGAGGAGGCCCCCCCTCCCCTTGCTTCCAGCCATATCAGGCCCAACCCAGCTGCTCATTTAGCCCAGATCAATTGTTTGGGACCGAGCCAGCCAGTGGTGCACTCACCAAGAGGTGGCCATTGATGTTCTGGCCACTCATCACCTTGCCCAGCAAAGCTCATGGGAAAAAGAAAAGTTACCCCCTTCAGAGTACCTCATGAACCCTCATTCTATCTCCTGTGTCCCCAAGAACCCAATTCCTCAAATGGGCAGAAGTCAATCCATTTTCTATCAAGGGGCTTTTGATCCCGAACCCTTTGTGTTTCCCAGCAGAAAGGGATCTGCTCGGGAGTCAGAGGCAAAGCCAGGGGTAGGACAGGAGCAGAGTGGACAAGATGCCCCATGAGGGAGAAGCTGGTGACCCATGGACTGATTGGCAGCAGAGTCCACGGCCTTCAACATGCAATAGCCACAGGAGGAGAAGCGAGGGAAAGGGATGGAAACAGGGTTGGTCTGACCAGCCCATAGACATGGCCTCTCAGACAGGACTTACTTGTGGCCACTGTCAAGTGAAAATATGATTCTGGACAGACAAGTAGTACCTGCTCCCTGGCTTTCACTCTTATCCCCAAGAATGGAGGAGCCCTCTTGCCTCTCTCCCCAGATAGCCTGGTGCCCCTCCCCCATCTTTCTCTGGCTGTGTTGCCCCTTTCCTGACCCCTGGTCTCCTCGTCTGAAGAGGGAAGCTGCAAACCCAGGGTGAGGGCTCCTCTGCATGCCCTGCTCTGCTTCCCCTCCCACCTACACCCCACACAGCTTTGGCTTCGAAAAGCAGAGAGGAGGAGAGGGCTGGCTAGTCATGCCTCCACCTTTTCTGAGCCTGGCCCCAGGGCTTTTTGCCCTGCAGCCCTAGGAGTTGGTGGGAGGATTCTCACTGCAGCCCTACTCCTGTCCCTGATCCCAGGAGGAAGAACCGATGGCTCTTAAGAGCCCGCAAACCAACACCACTGCCTGAAGTACCATGCAACAGACACACAGGCAAAAGGATTTCCATGTAGCTCTTGTATGCATCTGGTACACCATGTGTGCCCACATGTGATAGCCATGCTTCAAGTCCAGCTCTGGTGAGACCCAGCAGCTCCCAGCTTCCACTGGTCCACCCTCCAGCCTCCCACCACCCCCCTCAGGGAACCTGCTCCCAGGGCCAGGAGCCAGCCAGGGATCAGCCCTGGCAAAGAAACCTTGACCAACTGGCCCAGCCTTGGGACTGGCAACTATCTACCAATTGAGCAGGACAAGCACAAGAGAGTGTTTACAAGGGTAGGGCCCCAGGATGGAGGAGAATCCGCTGGAGAGGGCAAGGGGCCGAGGCAAGGGACACAGGAAACAGTGTGGACAGACAGAAGGCCAGAACCGAGGACTCCTCTCCCCAGGAAGTCCCCACCTTTGCTTCTGAGTGAGAGCACATCTGATCCCCAGAGGGGGACAGAGGTGGCCAGAACGGTCACCAGCTTGGGGCAGCCAGCACCTGCCCTCCACAACAAAGCCTCCTCCTCCCCTCTCCCTACCCTGGGGGCTGCAGAGCCGAATAACCGGACAGGCCCTCCGCCATGCATGCCAGGGACCCGGCTCTGCCGGCCCAGCCTCCATTTTGCTGCTTCTCCCACAGATGCTCCTTCCATTTTCTAAGCTGGCAGTTTATTTAGGCTGGGAGTGGAAGCCGGAGTTGTGCCCAGCACCCAGGGGTTCCCAAGCTGTGCCAAGTCAGGACTGGGGGGCCAAGTTCTCCCACATCTTGCGGTACCCAAGGGGAAGATGCCCCACCGGGGCCAGTCCCTGCACCATAGCAGCTGCCCCTTGCCTGGCTCCAGGCATCATGCCTGTTCTGGAGCAAGGAAGCTGGCTTCAGTCCCCCCCTCGCCCCCTGAGTACACATACACACTTCAGAGCTGCTTGGACAAAAGAGTCCATCCTTCTCAGCAGCCTCTCAGCCTTGCTTGGGACGTGTCTCTCGCCTCCTCCCCCTCCCCTCCCTTGCCTGTCAAGCGCCTCTCACCAGGGACACCACACACGCGCGCGCACGCGCGCGCACACACACACACACAGAGGCACACGCGTGCACACACTTGCAGCCACATGCTCATATACATGTAGCCACACACACACAGGCAAACACAGCCAAACCTGCAGCTTCATCTACAGAGACACCTCCACATTCAGAGAGACGTCCCCACATGTCCATGTGCACATTCACACACAAAGGGACTAGGACGGAGAGGGACTCATGGCATCAAGGGATGAAGCTCAGCAAGCTGGGCACATGGGCTCCTCGACATAGATTCACAGGAGCTCCACTGCCTTCCCCCACACACCTCAACACACACACACACACACACACACACACACACACACACACGTCCCCCCTACACAGAGCACCTTGCCCCCTCCTCCCCTCCTGTGGAGACACACACCGCACACAGCCCCCGCAGAACCTCCCGCCCCCTGCCAGACACAGAGACACTGCTAACCCCCCCCGCCCACGCTGAGGCGAACCCAATCCCCCCACACGGGAGAATGTGCCCCTCCGCCATGCCTTCGCCTCCTGACACACAGCTCCTCCCAATCCCCTCCAAATGGAGACCCCCAAACAGACACACTGGGAAGCACACACCACCTCTCTTGGCCCAGCTGCAATGCTAGGGCTCAGGGTCTGCGGGCTGGGAGCCCTGGGAACCCGTGCTGCACCCCAGGCCTCCAGGCGCCCACTCCCCAGCCCCCGTGGGTTGCCCCACCACCACCCCCTCTGCTGATCCATACCTGCTCATACCAATCGCGGTTGGTACAGGTGCACTCGGGCCACCAGCTGGGGCCGCTGCCGTTGAGTTTGGGGGTGCTCTTGCCCGGGACTGGCTTAGGGGGCACTGGCCCCACATCCCGGCCGGTGGGGATGAGCTTGGCCTTGGTGCGGGGGGTGGGGGTGGCCCCCGCCTGCGAGGGCAGGGTCTGCGAGCTGTAGCCCCCGTAACCGGCGCTGGCTCCATTGCCCCCACCTGGCCCGTAGGGGTCGGGTACCTGCCAGTCCCCGTAGCCGGGAGGCTCGAGGCGCCGCAGGGCGGCCAGGCGGGTCACCTCATAGCACTCGGGGCACTTACAGCAGTGCTGGTGCTTGTGCATGGCACTGCCCCCCGCGGCCCGGACCCCCCAGCCCACGCCGGTTTCCACACCGCCGCTGCCGCCGCCGCCGCTGCCGCCAGGCTCCCGGGCACACTCACACTGCTCGGACCAGGAAGGGGGGGGCACCCGTGGGGGCGCCCGGGCGGAGCGGGGCCTGGGGCCGGGCGGGCGTCCCGGGGCCTCTGCCCCCACGCTGCCCCGCACCCACGGCTCCCCCTCCAGCACTGGCGGCTCCGTGTCGCCCGTCGTGGCTCCTGGGCCGAGGCCCAGCGGCAAAGAAGAAGCGGGAGCCTGGGCAGAAGCTGGGTGCTGCGAGGACCGCTCCCGCACTGGTCCCCAGGATGGATCTGAGTGGAGTCAAGAGCATCTCTCCCTGGCTCCCTTCTCAGTTGATTCCAGCCAATCAGCGTGCAGAGTCAGGCAGCGGCAGCGGCAGCGGCAGGAATGCTAAACAGCGGCTCCTTAAAGGAACAGAGGCAGTGGCGCCCCCAGGCTCAGCCCCAGCTCCCCAGATATCGGGGGTAGGGCCAACCCTAGGGCAGGGACAGGGGACTTGTGCCACGGGTGAGCTCAGCCCCCACTCTCGTGCCCCCTCATCTCCAATTTCAGCCTGTCCTCGGCCCACTCCACCCCACCCCACTACCAAGAGGGAGTTGCAGGGAGATGCTCAATGGGTCCCCGGGCTTGCTCTGAGCTGGGGCCACCAGAAGTAAAGACTTGAGGCGGCAGAACAGATCGAAGGGACGTTAGAGCAGCGTGAGGGAGGTGCTCTCTCCTAACAGGGGACCAAGGAAGAGGGCAGCTTAGGAGGCTACTCTCTTGTCAGGGCCTCTTCCTCAGGACTATTGTTCTCTCAACCTCTAGGCCCCGAAATGACTGCAACCTCACACTTGACCTGCTTCCATCACCAATGAGGGACTCAAGCCTAGAACAGAAGGAAAGGAAAGCTCTAAGCTTTTGTCCCTGGCGCACAGATTCCTGTCTCCTCAACTCCACTCCTGCATGGTTATGATGGGGGAAAGAGCTTCAGGATGCCAAGAGAGTAAAGAAAGTCAGAAGGCAGAAGGGCAGAAGGAAAGGTAAGAAGAGATCTGAAGCGAAAGAAATCCGGGTGTCTGGAGAAGAAGTTGGGAATACTTATCCAAGGACATTTCCTTAGCCTCTCCTGGCTCAGTCTGTTGGCGGATGGAAGAAGGATGACATGCTGGGAAAACTCTTATCTTTTTGCTGTTCTTTATGTCATTAGCTACCAATTATTGAGTCTTCACAAAGTCCTAAGTGCTTTACATGCAAACAAAACCCCTACCAAGGTGCTACTATTATTATCTGACTTTTACCGAGAAATTGAGGCTCAGAGATGTTAATACAGCTAGGTTACACAGGTGGAAGTGACAGAATCAGGATGCAAATCCTGGCCATTTGACTCCAGAGTCCACGCTCTGAACCACTTAAGTCCAACAGGTCTATTCTAAGTTCTCCTGCAGATCTCAGGTCTCAGTTCAACGAACATTCATTGCACACCTACTCTGTGCAAGACCTTGACCTAGGCCCTAGGGCTACAGCAATTCATTCTCAAGTCAACAGGTATTCACTGAGCACCTGCTATGTGCCAGACACTGTTCTAGGATTTGAGGATATAGCAGCAAACAGAACAAAACACAATAAATCCCCGCCCTTGGGGTGTTCACATTCTAGTGAAAGGGCACAGACAAAAAATAGCACAATAAATAAATGAAGTATATACTACGATATATGGTGATAAGTGCTATGGGAAAAAAGAAAAAGAGCAGAGAAAGCAGGATTGGGAGTACTAGGGAAGGACATGAGGTTGTGATCATTTTTCTTCAAGTTTTTTACCCCTGCATTTTAACATGAGAATTTTCAAACATACAGAAAAATTGAAAGAATTTTACAGGGAACAAACATCCAATTGCCACCTAGATTCTCATTAACATTTTACTATGCTTGCTTTATCACATGTATATCCTCCACATATCCTCTCCAACTTTTTTAAAAATGACAATTTGCAAACATACAGAAATGTTGAAAGAATAGTACAAGGGACACCTATACATCTTCCTCATAGAGCCAACAACTGGCAATGTCTTGTTATATTTGCTTTATCGATCTATCTACAATTTCTTCTGAACCGTTCAAATGTACGTTATAGATTTCATTACACTCCTCCCCTAAATATTTCAGCATTCATCTTGTGGGAATAAAGGCATTCTCCCACATAACCACAATATGATTATGACATCTAAGAAAATTAACAATAATTTCATATCATCTAATATCATCTAATGTCCAGTCTATATTCAAATTTCTCCAAACTTGCCTTTTATCTTTTTTTTTTAACATCTTTATTGGGGTATAATTGCTTTACAATGGTGTGTTAGTTTCTGCTTTATAACAAAGTGGACCAGTTATATATATACATATGTTCCCATATCTCTTCCCTCTTGCGTCTCCCTCCCTCCCACCCTCCCTATCCCACCCCTCCAGGCAGTCACAAAGCACCAAGCCGATCTCCCTGTGCTATGTGGCTGCTTCCCACTAGTTATCTACCTTACGTTTGGTAGTGTATATATGTCCATGCCTCTCTCTCGCTTTGTCACAGCTCACCCTTCCCCTTCCCCGCCTTTTATCTTTTTTAACATCAGAACCTAATCAAGGCTGTCACATTGCATTCGTGTCTTTAGCCACTAGAACAGCCCCAATCTTAAAAGAAAACCTTTATATTTTGAGATAATTATAGATTTACAAGGAAGTTGCAGAGATAGCACAGAGAGGGCCCGTGTACCCTTCACCCAGTTTTCCTCAATGATTGCATCTTACATAATTATAGTACAATATCAAAACCAGGAAATTGACATTGGTATAGTGTGTGTATAGTTCTATACCATTTCACCACATGCAGAGATTTCTGTAACAACCACTGCAATCAAAATACAAAACTATTTCATCACCACAAAGACCTACTGGTGTCGTCCTTTTAAAAGGTTGAGGAAAGTGTAAAAAAATTACCTCCCTTTAGGTCCCTTTACCATGTCTCATTTATAGTACGGCTGTCTTAAATATTTCCTCTACATATACTGAGCTTCACATCAGATGATGTTTTACTTATTGCTTCAACCATCAAACATTATTTAGACAACTCAAGAGAAGAAGGAAAGTCTGTTGTACGTACTTACTTTTTTACTCATTCTATCCTTTCTTCCTTCCCGATGTTCCAAGATTTCTTCTCTTATCATTTCCTTTCTGTTTTGAGAACTGCCTTTAACCACTCTTTTAGGGTGGGTCTGCTGGTGTCATGGTCCCGTAGCTTTCCTTTTTCTGAGGATATCTTGATTTCTCCCTCATTTCTGAAGGATATTTTCACTAGATATAGCATCCAGGCTTGGCAGTTCTTTTAACACTTGAAATATGTTGTTGCCACTTCCTTCTGGCCACCATGGTTTCTGGTGAGAAATCGCTGATACTTGAATTGTTTTTCCCCTGTTGGTAAAGTGGTGTTTCTCTCCTACTGCTTTCAAGATTTTCTCTTCGTCTCGTTTTTAAAAGTTTGATTATAATGTGTCTTGGCATGGATTTGACTTTATCCTGTGTTGCGGGTTTGTTCAGCTTCTTGAATCTGTAGGTTTATGTCTTTTGCCAGATTTGGGGGATTTTCAGCCATCATTTCTTGAGGACTTTTTCGCCCCCACCCTTTCTCTTCTCCTTCTGGGACTCCAATGACATGAATGTTAGGTCTTTTGTTATAGTCCCACATGTCTCTGAGGCTCTGTTCATGTTTTTGTTTTTAGTCAAGTCACCTAGTCAAGTCTGTCCTTTTCTCCTTCTTTTAGCATCTTCCTATGTTTGTTTTATATATCACATACAGAGTTTTAGCTGTCCTTAGTGGGAGAAATAGGGAGAAGCATGTCTACTCCACTTGGGTCCAGAACTAATAGCCTCCCATCTTTATTCTTTTTTAATTAATGACACTGGCTTTTTGAAAAGTACAACTCAGTTGTTTTGTAGAATATCCTACTTCTGGATTTGTCTGTTGTTTTTTTTCCCCTCGTGGTGTCATTTATCTTGTTCCTCTATACCCTGTACTTACTGTAAACTGGAAATTAGAATAGAGGCAATCTTAAATAGGCTGGTCAAGGTAGGCCTCACTGAGAAAGTGACATTTGAACAAAGACTTGAGGGAGGTGAGGAAGGGAGCCATGCAGAAGAGTATACCTAGCAGGGGAAGAGCCAGTGCAAAGTTCATGGGTAAGAAGTGCATCTGGCTTGTTCGAGAAACAGCAAGGAGGACCAGGCAGCTGGAGCAGAGTGAGAGGGAGAACGTACTAGGAGATACGATCAGAGATTTAGTAGGAGACCAGATTGTATAGGGCCTGTAGGCCATTGAAGGATTTTGGCTTTACTCTGAGAGAGATGGGGAGCCACTGGAGAGTTTTTGTGCTGAGAACTGACATGATCTGACTTGTGTTTAGCAGGATCACTCTGGCTTCCGTGTGGAGAATAGGCCACAGGGGACAAGGGTGAAGCAGTGAGACCAGTCAGGAGGCTACTGAGGTGATGCCAGAGAGACATAAGTGATGGTGGTTTGGACCAGGGTGGTAGCACTGGAGGTGATAAGAAGTGATTGGATTCTGGATGTATTTCGAAGAGAGAGTCAACAGGATTTGCTGACAGATTGAATATGAGGTGTGGTTCCAAGGTTTTTTGGCCACAGCAACTGGAAAGGTGAAACTGCCATCGACTGAGATGAGGACTGCTTTAGGGGAGGGGTCATTTGGGCAAAAAAGATCAGGTGTCCAGATTTGGACATGTTGAGTTTGAGATGTCTATCAGACATCCAAGTGGCAATGAATAGTAAACAGACCCTGTCGCCAAGATGCTCAAAGTTAGAGAAATGGACATATAGAAGCATTTCATTACAATAACTGTGAAAAGTGCTATTTCAGAGGGGTATACAAAAAAGCAAGTTATCAACTCTACTTGTGGGTGGCGAGGGGCTTACGAAAAGTTTCATAAGAGATGATATTTTTAGTTTGCTCCTGAAGGGTGACTAGGTGTTCATTAGGTAGAGAAAAGAGAGGAGTGTCTTGTTTCCTGTATTCTTAGACCCTGGCACACAGTGGTTGCTCAGCCACACCCATCCCAGTCACTAGTTGTGTGACCTTGGCCGTTACTTTACTTCTTGAGCTTCAGTTTCTTTATCTGTGAAATGGAAATCATCACAGGGTTTTTGTGAGGATTAAATGTAAAACATTTAGCACATTACCTTGTAACAGTGGGTTAGGGTTAATTATTATTGTTGAATGAACAAATGAATGGATATCTTCCTTCATGACCAAGTCTAGGCTAGGCTGGTAACTCAGGACCTTAAAGTCTTTTATATGCTCAGCAGTTTGCCAATACTATTGAGTGCTAGACTCTTTTCCTACATCCTAAAAGTAGCTCAGGAAAAACAAAAAACAAAAAACACCCTATAGCCTGGGCCTCTGAACTGCTCTGATTGAGGAATAAACATTGCTAAGCCTGGAGTGAATGGAGAGGGTCAAACTGCCTTCCCCACACCCCGTCCCCATTTGACTGCTCTCTCTCTCTCCTCTCTCCCTCTCTCTCTCTCTCTCTCTCTCTCTCTCACACACACACACACACACACACACACACACACACACACACACAAACACACACAAACACACACACATTTTCATTTTTAATGAATATGAGTTACATCCCTTTACATTCATAGTGAGCTTGTCCCCACTCTACGGGCTCTCTGATGCTCAGACTGGACTTGGTTGGCAAGTCAGCAACCTTGAGATGCTTTGACACTTGGAATCCCCTCCCAACTGCTAGAGTTCCAACCTGAGGCCCCAGGGAGACAGGCGCCCCCTACAGGTCGAAAACAGCCCACGCCCCTGCAGGCGGTTGTGGTTGCTAGGCAACCGGGAGGCCCGCATGGAGACTGAAGCCACAGAGGAGCCTGAGAAGGGATTTGGGAGAAGGGGACTGTTTCTCACTCCTATCCACCGTTTCTCCAGCACCCTCCCTCAGCAAACTGATGGGGTTAGGGCAGTGCGGCCCGCTGCTGTCTGATAATCTGGGCTTATTCTTGAAAGTACAGCTTCACTGGGTGACCCCAATCTTTTTGTGTGGAGAAAAAAAATCACCCTTGCCCCAAAGCCCTCGGGTTTCACCTGGGAGCCAGAGACTGGGATTGCTGAAAGCAGGAGGTTTCTGGTTTGTGAGTAAGGGGCATTGCTGTGGGTGTGCATCCTTGGTGGATGGGAATTCTAGCACATTGGGCGTGGGTAGGAATAATTTTGGTGATTAGTCTACTAAGGTATCAAGATTTCCCCACCTTTCCCAAGGTATGGATTAGGGAACTCCTACTTTCGCCCATTAAAATAAAAAGGCCCCATAGGAACGACAATATATAAAGGATCATTCATACCTTGGTGGAGACAAGTTTCTCAGTGGCTTTCCTGAATTAGATTTCTCTATGGAGTAGGGAGAGATCCTGAGGTCTGTTGACCCCTGTGAGTAGGGACAGAGGCCAACAAGAGGGAAAGAAACAGAAAGAAGAATGGCAGGGTAGTAACACAGAATTCGGCAGCTTCCTAGTACTGTGTCTGGTTTGGGGCTAGCAAATCCTGTCAGCTCTGTGCCCTCTCTGTTAGGACCATGCTGAAGTATTCCGTCCTTATGACCGCCTTTGGGGACCAGAAATCCACAGCTTTTCCCCCTAGTAACCTAGCATTCTGGCCCAGGAGTAGGTCCAAGCAGGCCGAAGCCGTGGGCACAATAATCCCTCCACTTGGGACTCATCTCTTCACAATCAGTACAGCAGGAGCTTCATTGTGGCAGAGCCCCAAGCCATGGCAAGCTTAGGGGAGAGCTGTACCCGGAGTCTCGTCGTGGGCTTTCCCTCAAGAGTTCCGAGGTAGAGATACCAGGCTGAGGTACTGGCAGCCAGAGAGGTCCTGGTCCAGCCACTGCCCCAGTCCACAACATCTCCACAGCCGCACGATGGCAGGGGGAGGCTCCTTGCTCCCTGTGCTTCTAAACTGAACTGGGTCGGGGCTGTGCCTTAGCTCTATTAATAGCCCCCTAGCCCAGCCTGCTAGCCCCAAACCCGGATGCCAGAAGCTGTGAGTCAGCAGCTAAAAATAACGAGAGCAACTGCACCCAAACCCCAATGAGCAGCGCCCCTTGGCCCTCCACCCTCAAGTTTTTGTCAATCTCAGCCTCCAGTCCAGGACCTTATAGAGGTTAAGTGCGCCATAGCTGTCCAGTCCTCCTGGGAAGAGAGGAAGGATGGACGGTGGCAGGCTCAGGGCTGAGTGCTCAAGGCTAGGGACTAGGGGCAAGGGCTTGGGGCATTCCGGCCGAGAGTCTAGACTCTGAGGCTAGAGGACTGCAGCTGAGAGCCTGGGAGCTGAGAGGTGGAGGCTGCGGGGGTTGGAAACCCTGGATGTGATCAGGGTCAGGTCGGAATGGGAGGGGAGGAAGAGGCTGCGGGGCTGCGAGGCTGGGCGACTGGGAGGGGACAGAAAAGTAGGGATGGGGGTGGGGGGGAGGTCCATGCTGAGAGGTGAGAGCCCGGCAGTACCTGGGCGCCCCAGAGCTGAGGCCGGCAGTCGGTCTGAGGGGCGGGATCGGGAACAGGGAAAACTACGGAAATGCAGCTTGAAAAGGTAGTGTGTGGAAGAGATGGTCCAAGGCGGCGTGGACCCCCGAGAAGACTGGGACCAGGCAGCAGCCGCGGCGTGGGCTCCCGGCGCTCCTCCCACCTCCCAGCCCGTCGCACGCCGATGCCCCCGCCCACCGCGCCTGCTGCAGGCCAGGTATGTTGGCGTGGACGGCGGCCTGTGTGTCTATGTGCATGTGTGTGCATGGCGAGGGCGGGGTGGCGAGAAGGGAAGGGGCGGGGTCTGGGAGGAGGAGGGGGCGGGAACACAAATTCAAATTAGCTTCGGTCCATCCCGAGACCGGAAGTGGCCGTGGGGCCTCCTGGGAGTTGTAGTTCCAGGGCCTGCCCTGCAACCGAGGAGGGTCTTGTCCCTAGGTGCCAGCGCCGCCCCCGGTCCCAGGCTGGCGAGAGAGGAGGACTTGAGAACCGAACCTCCTGACCTCGTCAGACCCTTAGTTCGATTTCCCTTCGTGTGGAGCCATGAACCGGGGTGAATGTGGGTGCGGTGGGGACTGAAGAGTCAGCCAGAGCCCCCTCCTGTCCTTGTGTTTGCCTTAGCCCCTCCCGCACTTCTACCAGACTCCTTATCCTAGGCCAGCTCCGCGCTGGTCATCTTAACTGTTTATCCCAGGGACTCACGAGCAGCAAACATACCGGGGACCTTGCTCCTCGAGGGGAAGGTGGGCCTGGCAACCTGACCCTGCACGCAGCCCAGAGAAGCGAAAACTTGTGGAAATCGGACCATGCCCTCGGGATACGGAGTCAAGGACACAGGTCCCCAATGGGCACAAGAAACAGGTAGCATTCAGCAAATACGTCACGGGTGACGACGGCGCGGCCCTCCTCTTGGGGCAGGTGGCCACAAGGTGGAGCTACAGCGCAACTCTGCACAGCGCGCCTGGGCCACCCGGAACGCTCCCTGTGGCGGCTGCTCTCCTGCTTCCCACTTGCAGCCCTTCATTGCCCCAGGTGGACCTCTTGCCACCTCCAACCCACGATTCTCCCCATGATGACCCCTCAATGTCATGTCACATGCAACCCTAGATGGAAGGTGCATCCTCCACCCAGCCCCAGTGCTGAAAAGATTAGACTGTGCCAAATGGGCGTTCAATTCACTGAATAACCGATTAACGGACAAGATTCAGGAACGAATGTGTCTTGAGGAAAAGACTGTGCACAGCAAAAAGCCACCTGTAGGCACAGAATTACATGGCTAGATGGGCTCTTTGGCCCCCAGCCTCTAGGCAGGAAATCAGATAAATTGCATATGTCAGGGGAGACAGTGAATGAAGCCAGGTCAATATCTCCATCATCTTATAGTTCTCCAGGAAAGGCCTCTTTGTCATCTCCTTCAGTCTGTTCCAAGCTGTCCCGTCCCTGACACCCTGTGCCTTCTACACAAGAACACGTGAACACAGATCAGAAACATTCTCTTGGCAATCTCCTTGTCTCTTCCTCTGTTCTAGTTTCGTTTGGGGAGAAACTTCTGGTGACTCCGTGTCTCCCTAACCACTTCAGGTCAAAATCCCAAGGGGAACAGATTCCATGGAAGCTTGGGGCATGCCACCATCTGGGCAGAGGGCCCTCATAGTTCAAAACCTCCTATTGGCAAAGTTCACCCCACGCCAACCCCACCAACATTCCACCTCGGCCATTCTCTCTTCCTCCTTGCTGTTGGCCAATGCAGACAGGCCTCAGACTTTGGCTGGTGGGGGTCCAGGACAGGGCATTTACTCCATTATGAAAGCGTTGATCCTGGTCAGCAGCACTGCTGTTTCTAAGCCTGGGGAGAGGGGCATATAGGGAGTGAGCAAGGGGAAGGCTAGAGGAGGAGAAAAATGAAGTGAGGGGAGAAAGTTCTTACCGGTTCTCTCTCTCTCCTTAGCACATCTCCTATAGGGAGAAAAGCTTCTCATTATGAGTTCAGCCAGCTTCAAGCACGACCTTTTGACCCCGAGTTCCCCCAGACTGCCTTTCGCAAAAGGTTCAAGCCAATTGGATATATAAGGAAGGGTCTAAGAATCTCCGAGGAACCAAACAGACCAAACCCCAAGCCCCAGGCAGCATTTATGAATCTGAATCAGCCCTATCACCAGGACCCTAGGGAGAATAAAGACCCAGAAAGCTGGGGCACAAAACACTCACCGTTGGAGGAGGAAGGTCCACAAAAGCAGCAGGATGGAGACACAATTGGTAATGATCCACATCATTAGGTAGGTTTGAGGGGACTATGGGAATAGAAAAAAGCCCCTGTCAGTGGCCAGAGCGACCCATATACAGACACAGGTAGTATATGGGGGGAGGAGGGGCAATAAGTAAGGAAGAGAGGGATAGGGTTAAGGAGAAGCAGGGATGGGAAAAGAGGAGGAGGGGTGACAGTCCCAGAGCCCTTACAATAAGCCAGACAGGGTAACGCATCTGCTGCAGCAGCTGGCAGTCATTGGTGGTGACCGAATCCACCCCTGCACACCAGAGTAGGGAGAAGAGCCAGGGCTTGTTCACTACAAATAGGTTCACCGAGACATTATCTTGGTGCAGTGCTCTGTGGAGGAGGGGAAGAAATAGGGAACATCCAGAATCATGGCGTGCCAGGCATGGGAGGGAGACAGCCCCTCTCTGTGCTTGAATCTCCAGTGTCACTTCCCCAGAGCCATCAGTTCTGCCTTTGCATAGCAGCCCCTGACCAACTCTGTCTCCTGGTGGATTCCACCTATGGGTCTTAGCTTTGCTGTCTGGGGCCACACAAATGTGTCTCTCCTCTTTGTCTCATGACATCCCTTCAGAGGTCTGAGGGGCAGTGACCACATTCCCCTGAGTCTTCTCCTCTCCAGGCCCAACAGCCCCAGTCACTTCAACTGGGGCTGGGGACCTGGCTTATCATTCCCTTCCTCATAAAAACCTCTCTAATCTGACCTTACTCCAATTTACCTATGTTCCTTTTGAAGTCTGGAGCCTGCATCTGAAGGTGATATCCCGGGTAGGCTGGGACCAGCTTCGAGGAGAGCAAAACTCCTCCTGCCTTCTGGGCACTATGCCCATGTGAAGGCAGCCCAGGGTCAGGCTAGTTTTTGGCAGTGTCATTCATTATTCACAGTGTTCAATCAAAGCCCTGGTCTTTTTCACACATGCTCCTGCTAATGCCAGTGTCTCCCTCTCTTGTTTTTGTGCAGTTGAGCTTCTTTTGGACCCCAAATATAGGTCTTTGCATGTATCTCTGTTGCATTTCATCCTGGTACATTTGGCCCGTCATCTTGGAGTGCTTAGACCTTTCAGGGCCTCCATTTTCCCATCAGTGTTTTCATTACCAATTCATGCCTTTTGGAAACATGATCAGCAGTCGATGTTGACCAGGACAAGACTAAGGGGAGGGCCAAACCTGATATCGTGTCTCCTCCCATGGTGACAACTTGGGGAAAGGTCCTTGAAATACTTAATATGATAACTGGGCTATCTTTCAGTCCACATTTTTTTCTATCTGACCACAAGGATGTTATTAGAGACCTTGGCAACTGCATGTTTGTAAGTCTATCATGTTTCCTGGCTGGGTCAGCTTCTGGGGCCCAGCTCACATCTGGGACTCTCGCCTCTCTCCCCTGGATCCATCCTCTCTTGCACCAATCTCTTTGGTGTAGAATGAAAGCTAAAATCCTTCTGGTGGCCTACAGGGTCCTACCCAATTTGGCCCCTGCCTACCTCTCCAGCCTTGCCTTCCCCTCGCTCACAAGACTGCTGTTCCTGTTCTTCTGCAGCTCTTCCCATTGTCCTCTCTTTGTGACCTGTCAGGTCTCAGCCCAGACACCACCTCTTTAACCACTCTTCCTACTGTGACCCTCCCTAGCCCCTCTCTCCCAATCTCTACTACATCTTCCCAATTTTTTGGTCTTCAGATCACTTATCACTATCCAATATGCATATGTTTTGTGCAGTGGTTTATTGTCTGTCTGTCTCACCCCCAAAGCCTGCAATAAACAGTGCCTGACACATAGCAGGTGTTCAATAAATATGTGTTGTATGAGTGAATGAATGAATGGCCTTTGCCTTCCCAGCCTCGGCTCTTCCCCACCATTAAGCCTCGTGTGATCCCCTCAGCTCCTTTCCTCTGGCACTCACTTGATATCCAACAGTGGCAGGTCTTGATAGGGGAGGTTGAGAAACTGGGGCTTCTCAGTGCTGTGGCCTCCCAGATGTCCATATATCTGGCGCATTTGGGGGGCCCGTTGTTGGACATAAGCCCGATCTTCATCCGGTAGCCAGAGGACCTGTGGTTCAGGGTGGATGGGCATGAAGCTGGGGAAGGCCTAGGGATTCCGGGGGTGGGGACAGGGGCAGAGAGGTCTGACTGCGGATGGGCTGTATGAGCTGGGGTGGGGCCCTGGGGCGGGGGGAAGCCTCAGCATTATCATCATGGCTTAGGGAAGGCAGGGGAGAGGGGCACTAGGGAGCACTTGGGGTCCTGGCAACATCACCATGGCTTGGGGCACCCCTGAACTCAGCACAGTCTCCAGTGTCTGGTTCACAAAAGTGTCATGGTATGTATGGTTTCGTGGGGGGCGGCGCAGGTCAAACATGACAGAAAGGTTGTGGGCTTCAGCTTCTTTCAGTAGTTCTTTCAGGGCTGGCACTGTCTGATTCTCAGCGTCTTTCCGATCAGGGCCTGACAGCTGCTTAGCTCCCCAGAAGGGTCGCTTCTATAAGAAGAAGAAAATTGTTTCAAGACCAGAAGAAGCCTCCAGGCCATCCTCCCATCCTCATTATCTTCACTCATTACCCCCACTTGGTGTACAGCTTCGGCCCACTGCTGAGCCAGGGTTTTTCCTTTCTCCAAATTGTGGCCTTTTCTAGACCCTCTAATACCTTACTCTGGCCCCAACCTCCTATCCTCCCGGTTTCCTAACTTCCTCACTCTCACTACACTTGCCCTTGGGTCTCACGAAGACCTCTGGGATCTTGACCCCTTGGTTTCCTCCCAATCCATCAGCCCCTTTCTGGCCACACCTACATCCCCTACCCATGGTCCATCCGCAGCTTGAACTACTTTTCCACAGCCCCGTCAACTCCTTTCCTGCCCCACAAATCCCAAACTCAT